ATGATGGACATGGAGACTGGTTAAATAAGAATAGTCAAATGCCGTCAAAATATTAATTAAAACATATATATTTATACACAATATTAATTAAAACAAATGATACCTCATAAGTAGTCAGCAAAATGTGGAAACAATGATTTGACATCAAATCCTGTTGTAGTTCAGCTCTTTCTTCTTTGCCTCCCAAATATATGACAGTGGAAAGGTTCGGAGAAAACCTTTTTTGAATATTTAAAAGAGCTATTGATCAATATCTCTCTTCTAATCAGAATTATAAATTTACAAACTGCATTGGTTCACTTATTCCAACACAATCTATTCTGTGATGTCAGACACAAAACTTGACATTTTGTGTGCAAACTACCTCTTTTCCTAATGTAGCAAATTTCTGAAAATAATTATCTTATAGAGACAGACATAGGTAATGGAATGCTATGGCTAAATTTGTAGATAACTGCATTTAAAAGAAATGGGTTGCACTTCATTCTGCATCATTTTTCTCAATCCAAATTTTACTATATTCTTTCTTATAAATAAAAAAAAAAATCAGAGGAAGTATGGGCAGCACCTTTTCCAACTAAGAAATGTTAAAAAAAGAGCCTTGGTACTACAGGGGTTTAAGGCACCCTGTTATTAAGCTTATTAAGACCAGCTGCCTGCAATTACTGCAGGGTTCGAATCTCGCCAAGGCTCAAGGTTGACTCAGCCTTCCATCCTTTCTAAGGTAGGTGAAATGAGGACCCAGTTTGTGGGGGCAATAAGCTGACTTTGTATAAATATACAAAAGGATGAAGGCTATTGCTGAGCACATTGTAAGCCGCCCTGAGTCTTCGGAGAAGGGCGGCATATAAATCAAATTAAAAAAAAAAAAAAAAGCTTAGCTCAATTCAGCATATATTCACTTCATCATAGACTCACACACTTCATCTACAGTTGCAAGAAAAAGTATGTGAACCCCTTGGAATTACGTGGAGTTTTGCATGAATTGGTCATAAAATGTGCTCTGAACTTCATCTAAGTCACAATAATAGAAAAACACAGTCTGCTTAAAATAATACTACACAAACATTAGATGTTGCCATGGTTTAATGGAACATAACATGTAAACATTCACAGTGCAGGGAGGAAAAAGTATGTGAGCCCCTAGCCTAATGACGTCTCCAAGAGCTAATTGGAGCCAGGAGTGAGCCAACCTTGACTCCAATCAGTGTGATGATATTGGATGTGTTGCTGACAGCTGTCCTGCCCTTTAAAAACACACACCTGTTTTGAGTTTACTGGTTTCAAGAAGCACTGTCTGATGTGAACCATGCCTTGCAGAAAAGAGCTCTCAGAAGACCTACGATCAAGAATTGTTGACTTGCATGAAGCTGGAAAAGGTTACAAAAGTATCTCCAAAAGCCTTGATGTTCATGTGTCCACGGTAAGACAGACTGTCTATAAATGGAGAAAGTTTAGCACTGTTGCTACTCTCCCTAGGCGTGGTCGTCCTGTAAAAAAGACTCCAGAATGCTTCATGAGGTAAAGAAGAATCCTAGAGTGTCAGCTAAAGACCTACAGAAATCTCTGGCACATGCTAACATTTTTGTTGACACATCTACAATAAGGAAAACATTAAACAAGAATGGAGTACATGGGAGGACACCACGGAGGAAGCCATTGCTGTCCCAAAAAAAGATTGCAGCACGTTTGAAGTTTGCAAAAGAGCATCTGGATGTTCCATAGCACTACTGGCAAAATATACTGTGGACAGATGAAACCAAAATTGAGTTGTTTGGGAAGAACACACAACACTATGTGTTGAGAAAAAAAGGCACAGCACACCAATATCAAAACCTCATCCCCACTGTAAAACATGGTGGAGGGAGCATCATGGTTTGGGGCTGCTTTGCTGCCTCAGGGCCTGGACGGATTGTTGTCATTGATGGGAAAATGACAATGACCCAAAGCATACAAGTAATTCAACAAAAAAATGGCTTCAACAGCACAGAATACGCCTTCTGGAGTGGCCCAGAGTCCTGACCTCAATCTGATTGAAATGCTGTGGCATGACCTTAAGAGAGCAATTCACACCAGACATCCCAAGAATATTGCTACACTGAAACAGTTTTGTGAAGAGGAGTGGTCCAAAATTACTCCAAATCGTTGTACAGGTCTGATCTGCAACTACAGGAAATGTTTGGTTGAGGTTATTGCTGCCAAAGGAGGGTCAACCAGTTATTAAGTCCAAAGATTCACATACTTTTTCCTCCCTGCACTGTGAATGTTTTACGTTATGTTTTTTTTTTAAATTTGTTTTATATGCCGCCCTTCTCCAGAGACTCAGGGCGGCTTAGAATGCGTTAAGCAATAGCCTTCATACTTTTGCATATTTATACAAAGTCAGCTTATTGCCCCCACAAACTGGGTCCTCAATTTACCTACCTTAGAAAGGATGGAAGGCTGAGTCAACCTTGAGCCTGGTGAGATTCGAACTTACAGTAATTGCAGACAGCTGGTGTTAATCACAATGCTATCAGTCTGCTGAGCCACCAGGCCCATGTTCAATTAAACTATGGCAACATCTAATGTTTGTGTAGTATTATTTTAAGCAGACTGTGTTTTTCTATTGTTGTGACTTAGATGAAGTTCAGAGCACATTTTATGACCAATTCATGCAAAACTCCACGTAATCCCAAGGGGTTCACATACTTTTTCTTGCAACTGTATACATCTGATAAATGTGTTACACCTCACAAAATATTTTAATAAAATGCATTAGTTGGAAATATGCTACTAGATTTCTGATTATCAACAGGCATAACATACAGTATATGGTAGTTTGTAATAATGCCACCAATTCTGCATTTAGGCACTGTCTAACTCCAAATTGACTCTGGGCAGCACACAAATTACATTTGAAACTTGCCAGAATGTCCTTCACGAAATGTAAAAACTCTAGAAATGTTTACCTTTTTAATTCATCTTTCCAGCTGTTTAACACAGAGAGAGGGCAAATGATCACAAAAGGTCTCCTATGAAGCTTCCCACTCAAAAAAACAAGCAGACAAATAGTCTGAAATAGATTTTAAACATATTTTGGATTTATTTTAATAACATTCATTTTTCTTTTGACAATTAGGAAATCATACATTTCATATAGAAAGACAAAATAATACCTGGCAAGTCTTCCCCAGTCCCATTTCATCACCCAGAATACATCCATGCCCAGTTTCATAGCAGCTTATCATCCAATTTACACCTTCTATCTGATAGGGATACAGGTGAATAGCTAAAAATAAGAAAGGGAAACTATTGCATAGGAACTCTTAATTTACATAAACAGCTGTTTGAAATACAATTAATCTAAAGAATTAGACATTATACTTTGATTATGCAAAAGGAGTTATCGTCATTTTCTTAGAACTTATTTCAAGATAGCTATTTTCACTGACATTCTAGAAGGGGAGCAAATACAGTGCAGCAGTTTTCTCAAACCTGGTGCCTTGTTTTAATTGGCATTTCAAGATATGTGTAAACACAGAATTATCTTTTTGAAGATATTTCATTTTAACGCATATTTAATACATTTGATTATTACCCAAAGGGTAAGAAATTATACCAAGCATTAAGAAGTTACCATTACTATTCTCACAATTCTCAGCCAACATATCCAATGGGAATTCCTGGAGTTAATTCTAGCAAGTCTAAAGCTGGTAAATTAAGTGGTTTCACATCACATATAACCTGTTACATTGATTCCTGTATTCATGGGATTGCAATGAGAATAATAATAATAATAATAATAATAATAATAATAATAATAATAATAATAATAATAATAATAATAATAGTAATAATAATAATTTTATTTCTATAGAGCAGCTACAATTTACATACTAGTTGTAAGTTGTAAGTTGTACAGGACAGACAATCTAATTTATGGAATAGCATAACTATTCAAGAGAACTTACTTTTTAAATCCAAACATAGGAATGTCAGTCTAACAATATATTTGTTATTTTTTAAGACAAGGGATTTTAAAGAAGATATCTTATACCTCTTCCCTCTGAACAAACAATATGTAAATTCTTGATTTGGAAAACTACATAAGTATCTGAACCACTTAATACTGAATTAATAAGGTACTTATTCGTTTTAGGTTATCTTTGCATCATCTGGCTTTTTGAACAGGCAATGAACCAAAGTACTTTGTACATTAATCCTATCAAGCTGAAACTAGTTTTTAATATACAGTACTTAATTACCATTGCTTGCTTTTTATACTTTTGCATTTTGGTAGTTTTAAATAAAAACATGCTCTCGTTGAATTAATTCAATTCCCTGGCTGCCCCCAATACAAACTAACTTATCAATAGAGCCTAAGTAAATTAATCTATGGATTCCATCTTTAGGAAAAATGGCTCGAAACGAAATTTACCCGTCAATCCCCATTGGAATAATTGTTCCTCTATAATACTTTCGCTTCCCTGTCTGGATCTGTATTTGTTAGAAAGAGTTTGGAAGAAGCAAGACATCACACAGGCCTCAAAGCACCAAGCTCCGATTCCTCTTCCTTTCGCAATTTTCACTTTCCAAAACAGTTACCGGAAAGAAAGCAATAGGCAGGCTTATATGGATTGGCTGGTTAAGAAAGAACATTGCGCCGTAATTGGCTTTTACGGGAACCTGGGCGGGTTCTAGAAAGAGCATCATTCCGTAGGACAGTGACGCTGCTCACACGGGCCTTTCAATATTTTGTCTGCGGTGGTGTTTTTACTCTGCATTGCGTTTTCTTGTTGGACTCAGTCGACAGACTGTATGCCTATCTGTATACAGTATAATATTATTGAATTAATAACCTTAAAATTAATCCTATCTAGAACTATGTAATATGATTAAGATTGTGGGTTTTCCCCCCCCCAAGAACAACGACGCGTCCTCTAGCAGATTTCCTATTGGATCGATTCCCGCCCAAAGTTGCTGTACATTTTTAGTAAAAATAATCGGCTCTCCAACCACATTTTAGCTTCTTATGTCGAGTGAATCCAGGCCGTATGGATTTATTTTGTAATACTACCACCACCCCGCCTCACCCCAAATTCAAGTGAAGTGTTGGCATTTATCGGTCATCGATAAATGAACAGGTGAAACTAGGTGGGGACTTATCTGAAGAGCTTGAAGAGAGCAGCGTAACAGGACAGAATGAATGTCCTGTATTAAAAGTAAGATCCGCCTGTCATGTCCCTAATTACGCTAGCTGGACTAGTTTCTTTGCTCTGCCCAGTTAAAGATGGTCCGTTTTGCCATTCTCGGACTTCTATAATAGCAACGTCCCGCTGCAGGATCAGAGCGGAATTGTGCGGGACTCAATTAATATTGCCTATCACTTAAATTTTGTCCCCTCAGACAAAAATGTGCCTGCAGAAAACAATTGCCTAGCAAATCAAGCTGCTACCACTAAACCATTAAAAAAAAGGTAATTTATGACAATCCAATTCTTGCTATTCTGCTGTATGTCGGCGAACCAGGAATAAAGAGTTAATTGGAGAATCCATGGGTAGCTTGGTATGCTAACAAATCATTGTCTAAATGAAACTAAAAAGGCCGCAAAAAGAATAGAAAAATATAACTTATGTTCTGTGCATCTTTTAAAATCTCTCAGGGTTTCTGTAACACAAATCTCTTCTCCTTTGTAGTTTCAGAGTGGTGTGTGTGGAGATCTCCTCCATTGGCGCAAACATGCGATTAACCGAAAGCGAGGCGTTGGGCAGGTGGCTATTCAGGCATGTTGCTTGATGGAATTACGGAAAAATACCAAGCTGAGGAAATAGCTGCTTTCATCAAGCTCCGCCTCCAACCCAGTAAAAATCTGCGAGACGGAGGGAAGCATTTTGTACTCTTCTTCGGCTTTCTGATCTTCTCGTTTTCCGTGCGGCACCGGCCACCTGAGCCATGAAGGACGAAGGCTGGCAACTATCGACGATCGCCTGGGGAGCTGCGCTTTTCGTTTGTTTTATTTAGGTTTCTTGCGGCGTGTTACTGGTGCGGCTGGCACAGCTTTTCACCGCCGGCGGTCGGACCGCTTCGAAAAATCTTGGCGACCTCCCGTGGACGTGGTGAGTGAGGTCGTAAAGACAATTGTACAGTTTAGGGACGATATTCATTCATGCTATTTCTGGAAGCATGGATTATCTGCATGAGAGGAACATGGAGAGTGGTGAGCTGTATAGTCGCTGAGGATTGGACACGGCTGAATGGCTGGGGACGACAACAGAGTACACTTACACAAGCTGGTACTTTTCGCTGTAGCCATTATAGGAGAGTTGTGATGGCAGAAAATCAGAAGTGTAGTTAACTTCCAATTAACCCATTTTATGGAACCGCGTAGGCTTTCCTGGGTATCTGATGAATCTCAGGAAAGCTTGTGCGTTTTTATAAATTTTGTCTTCAGGACAAAAAGAGCAGATATAAATGGGCATTTTATCTGGAGGTCATTTTGAACATGAGCAATAAAACATGTGAGGTGGGCCCCTTTGCTGTCCCAGGAACTCTTCAGCAAAGGAGCCCTGGAATACTTTCCTTGGACAGTAAAGGAGACAAACAAGCAAGTACTGGAGTATATAAAACCAAGCTGGAAGGCAAAATCACAATGACACCTTACTTATTTCAGCCATGTTATTATGCAAGCAAACTCATTGGAAAAGGCAGTTAATTTGGAAGAGTCAGACCTCCAAAAACATGATGGGTATAAAATCAAAGCTGACATAGCATAACACAACTGAAAGAAGCTGTACAAAATTGGAAAATGTGGAGAGAGCTGGTCCATAGAATTGCCTACAATTGGGCATGATTGAATGGATAGTATCACTAATAAAGTATGGGGTGTACTTTATGGACGATCATGTAGTGTTTCCTTTTCTATAAGAAATAGCAAAGATAAAAAAGTAGATAAAAAAGCTAGTAAGCCTGTGTAAATTAAATTAATGTCTACTTAGATCATACTGTTTTCAGCTAATATTTAATACATAATGTATGTCTTCAAAACACACACATTAAAATGACATTCTAAATCTGTTGGTAAAAAGAAATTGTGGCCACTAACAAAGGGCGGGGGGATGGAGTAATAATATATGTGAAAAGTTTACCATAGACTCTAGAAAAAAAAAATCAGAGGGGAAGAAGATTCATAATAGTAAGCTTTCAGACTGAATCTGGAAAAATAACAATTACAAGTACCTCAGTTTGTGTTAACAAAATTATATAAAAGACATCAAAGTAGATTTCTTTATCCCTGAAAAAATGAATGACCTTTTCCCTACATGTAGATATAATTATTTGATCTCAAAGGATTTCCAGCAAATTCCCCTGAACACTCCTAACTCCCTCTCATATGTCTGATATGTCATTATCATCGTTTTTTGGATATATGGAGATATCTTACAGAGAGGGAATATATTATTTTATATAGAATAAGACATTAGGTTAAATACTTAGGAATTTATTTGACAAAATTTATTTCTTTAAAGGATTTCTTTAAAAATATACACAGAGCTGAAAAAATGTAATTTCTAGTTTATCAATGCCAAATTATTTTTAACTCTGAACTAAATTGTATTTAAGATTTAGATTAGATTTAGATATCTTTGCAATTACAATCATATGCTGTGGTAATTATTTTGGAGGGGCAGCAGTATTAATTTGATTTAAAAACAACAGCTAATGGATTTATGGTGACAATACTTTTGTAAACCAGTATGTTTTTTCTCTTTATTTCTAGTGGTCCCCCAGACTATCTGGCTTTCCTCTACAGCTTTGCGTGCACCTGGTCAATACAGTAAGTATCCAGTCTTTTCTTCTTCCTCCTTCTTTACTTCCTCTTTTACTGCTTCAGATGTCGAGGGAGATACAAAGTTCTAGTGGTATCAGCCATTGTTGCACTTCTAGTGGCCTCAACCATTGCTATTTGATGTTGTTGTTATGTGTCTTCGATGCCTCTCCATCTTTTTCTGCGTCTGCCTTGTGTTCTTTGGCCTTCTCCTCTTTTTGTATATTTCTTTTATAGCATAGAATCCCAAGACCAATATGTTTAAAAGTTGTACTCTACAAACTACAACTTCTATATCTATAGCATATCTCTTGATTTTCAGTAAGGATTATCAAAGGTAAGCTTAGGCAACTTGGTGGTTTCCAGGTGGTTTGGACATAAATTTCCAATTTGTACACTTGATCCAAAAAGCAAAATAATACCAGTTAGCAAAAAGTTAACAGGAACAACTTAACTTTATTTTCCAATCAGACTGTAGTGTATAATCAGTAAATTATATGCAAAATACCTGTTTCAAAAAGTTGCTGATTGGTTGAGCTGAGACAAACAAATAGCTGCAGAATAAGCAGATTTTAAACTAAGCTTTTCAAGAATGGACCAATGTATCCATATCTGCGAAATAACCTCAGATAATCTCTGATCTCTATTAGTAACATTAAAAATGAAGGCATTATTTGATGCAATTCTCTGTGACAGGCTATGGCATTCTCTGCAATTAATTACAATGCTTCATGAGAATACAACAATGCAGGTTAGATGAACAAATGGCAGATAATTAATGACAACTTCCCAACCTCCAAAAGAGTTAAGCAGAGTGAAGAGTCAAGTTGTGTATCCTGAGCCTCCTATTATTTAATGTTATCATGACGACATTGTGTAGATCTTCGTCAAACCAACATCTTTCACCTCTGGCTGCATCCCTCTTTGTAACCTAGGTGAGTCTATAACCAGGTCATTGCACAGTAATGATACTGTGTCATATCATGTTGGTTGAAGACTGGTGAACAATTTTCTTTCATCTTTTGAAATGATATTTTTGCTCTATTAGATCATAAAAGTTGAGTTATGAAAACAGCCTCTCTAACCAAAAAAGTTACTTGATTGGTTTATTTTTATCTAAACATTTCAAGGTTTATAACTGAGTTTTAAAGGAAAGGAAGCTTCTGTTTCATTTTTGTCCTCATACTCTTCTGGGATCTTGGGTAGTGACACGCAACAAAGAAGTCTTAGTTATCCATTTTGTTGAATCAAATAACTTACCAAGTTCCATCAATAAACAGGGGAGAGAAGATGGATTATGACCCATGGGTACAATGGAAGGTCTTCCAACCAAGTCCTTGTTTGGCCCTTTTTATAATGTTTCAGTACTCTCTACTGTAGTCTACAGTACTTTAGCCTCCTCATTCATTGTTGTTGAGCCAGGTACTGTTTCATGGGATGGGATGTTTAGCTGCTGGCCAACTTCCTGCTTATTCTGGAATCTGTAGTTTTTATATAGCCAAAGCTACATTTTTTTGGATGCCTTTTGTTGTTTTATTCATTTTTTTTACTTGGGTTATTGCTTCTATGTCACACTATTGAGTTCAGATGGAGTCCATCATTTTTGTAACTTCCTCTGTGCAACACGTTAGACTTCAGTTAGGAATAATGCCAGATTTCTCTCCACTGGCTAAGGAAGAAACAGGCATGATTTAAACTCTATGAAAGAATTCCCTGAGATGTTATGTATCCAGTACTATTTTTAGTAAAATAAAAGTTTATTTTATTTATTGATCAAATTTATATGGCTGCCTCGTGGAAAATGTCTCTGTGCAGCATACAACAATTACTGTACCTGTTTCCTACTGTGTGTGGTGTAACAGGTTTAAAGCCACTTTTGAGAACGGGGGAAATGATTTTTGCTATAACTGATTCACTGTACCAGATCAATATTGTGCAGTCTGGCTTTGGTGAAAGCAGAATGGGTAAGCCTTAAATTCAGTCTAGAGAAAGATGCTATCTGTATGTGTTTTCTATTTGGCCCTTTAATGCCCAATTATGTTCAGTCTCTGTTGAAAGAAGACTCAATATAGAACAGAGAAATAAAAATTCTTTTTTTTTCATTGTAGGCTTTTGGACAACTTTTTTTAGTGCCATTTTTAATGTAGTAAGTACTATTTTACTAACTGAATTACATAATAGAGGCAAAGTGCAAGCAGAGTAAAATGGAGAACATGAAAAACAAACTCAAATTGAATGAGTCATATACTGTATGGGAGACAGAGAGCTTTTTCACTGTAGCACTAGATTTTCTAGGCTAACAATCTGTTCTCTTAAACAATACATGTGGGAACATTTCAATTTTACATACACACCAAGCAGTACAGTTTCTACAATAGCTTCTTGATGTGGTTTTGTATTGTGTTTGGGGTGTAGAGTTAAAGATCTATGAAATATTAAAAAGTTCAAAATTTGTATAACATTCAGTAGTTGAACATACCTAGGCCAGTGGTTCTCAACCTGTGGGTCGCGATCCCTTTGGGGGTCGAACAACCCTTTCACAGGGGTCGCCTAAGACAGTGGTCACCAACTGGTGGTCCTTTGATGGTCCGCGGAGAAATTTTCGTATTTTTGCATTTTTGCAGGTGGTGCAATACGGAAAAAGGAGTGTAGCCCTTGCCATCCGGAATGAATGGTGCTGTTGTAGCGGTGGGGGAAAGAGCGGCAGAAGTGGGAAGAAGCAGTGTTTGCGATGGCTGGAAGCTGTGAGAGCGAAGCACTACTTTCATTTGCACGGCAACAGCATTCCGCCTCAGTATATTTGTGCCAGCCAGTGGCCCAAGGCAGCCCTCCTCTCCTGTCGCTTGGGACTCAGAGCGGTAAATGGCGTCTGATCCGAGGAGCAGCCGGATTTTGCTCTCTAATCCGGACGCCAGATCGGCCCCCTGCAAGCTCTCATCTCTTGAGGAGCACTCCCTGAAGCGGGGCTGGAAACTTTGGTCAGTCTCCTCGAGAGACGAGAGCTTGCAGGGGGGCGACCTGGTGTCTGCAATGAAGAGCAAAATCCGGCTTCTTCTCTCCGCTGTAAGTGCGGCATCAGGATTCCGTCTTGGTATATTTGTGGCACAAGGCAGCCCTCATCTCCTGATGCTTGGGACTTGGAGCGGTAAATGGTGACTGGTCTGGGGAGCAGCCGGATTTTGCTCTCCATTGTGGATGCCAGATCGGCCCCCTGCAAGCGCTCGTCTCTCGAGGAGCGCTCCCTGAAGTGGTGCGGGAAACTTTGGTTGGGCTCCTCGAGAGACAAGAGCTTGTAGGGGGCCGATCTGGCGTCCGCAATGGAGAGCAAAATCCGGCTGCTCCCCGGACCAGTCACCGTTTACCACTCTGAGTCCCAAGTGGCAGGAGATGAGGGCTGCCTTGCGCCGCAAATATACCAAGGCGGAATCCTGATGCCACACTTTCAGCGGAGAGATGAGGGCTGCCTTGGCCACCGGCTGGCGCAAATATACCAAGGCGAATGCTCATGCCACGCAAGTTCAAGTAGTGCTTCGCTCCCACACTTCTTCCGGCCCTCGGTCTCTCAGGGAGCTGTTTGACTTCCTCTCAGCCCTAAAACACTGGCTGGCCCATGAGATGAGAGAGAGAGAGAATGAGAGAGAGAGAGAGAGAGAGAGAGAGAATCAGAATGAGACAGAGAGAGAAAGAGACGAAGAATGAAAGAGAATGAGAGAGAGAGAAAGAGAGAGAATCAGAATGAGACAGAGAAAGAGACAAAAAATGAAAGAGAAAGACAGAATGAAAGAGAATGAGAGAAAGACAGAGAATCAGAGAGAGAGAGAGAGAATGAGACAGAATGAAAGAGAGAATCAGAATCAGAGAGAATGAGAGAGAGAGACAAAATGAAAGAATCAGAATGAGAGAATCAGAAAGAGAGAGAGTGGGGGAGAGAGAGAAAGGGGGAGAGAAAGAGAAAGAGTGGGAGAGAGAAAGGGGAGAGAAAAAGAGAGAGAAAGAGTGGGAGAGAGAAAGGGGGAGAGAGAAAGAGAATTGGGGAGAGAGAAAAGGAGAAAGAAAGAGTGGGACAGAGAGAAAGAATAAAGAGAGGGGAGAGAAAGAGAGTGGGGGAGAAAGAGAGAAAGGGGGAGAGAGAGAGAATGAGAAAGAAAGAGTGGGAGAGAGAAAGAGAGAGGGAGAGAGAGAGAGAGAGAAAGAGATAATGAGAGAGAGAAAGAGATAATGAGAGAGAAAGAGTGGGGGGGGGAGAGAGAGAGAGCCTGAAGGACCCCATCCCGTCATTGGGAGTCCAGGTGCTTCAGCAAGCGGCCCACTGGATTCGTATTAGTGGTCCGCAAAATTTAAAATTATGAACTTGGTGGTCCCTGAGGTCCAAAAGGTTGGGGACCCCTGGCCTAAGACTATTGGAAAACACATATTTTCGATGGTTTTAGGAATAACTTCATGGTTGGGGGTCACCACAACATGAGGAACTGTATTAAAGGGTTGCGGCATTAAGAAGGTTGAGAACCACTGAGCTAGGCCTACACTGACACCAACGATTTGCCATTAATCTGAAACTTCTGAACATAATGGAAGATGCTTAAGATACTGCAGATAGTCTTTGACCTATGACCGTTTGGTCAGTTACTGTTCCAAGTTATGATGTTGTTGCACAAATGGTGATTATGACTGAATCTTGGAGACCGGCTGTTCCACTATCTCCACAGTGATCATAGTCTGGGTGTTTGACAACCTTTTAGCACTTACAATTGGTTGCCAAGTATCCTGCAATTACATCAGAGGTGGTATTCAGCCGGTTCAGACTGGTTTTCCCGAACCGGTAGCAGAGATCATGGGTTGGCCTGCCCCCCCCCCGGCCCGGCGCTATGCCGTCCTATGTAGGCACATTTTCGAGGCTGGGTGCATGCGCAGAAGGGCCGCGCTTGTGGCGAACCAGTGGTAACAATATCTGAAACCCACCGCTGAATCACATGATCGCTACTTGCTCAGAAAGTCAATGGGGAAGCTGG